TTCAATTAATTAAATGATCTAGTTGTATTGGATGTGAAGAATATCACCTGTGTTTTGCACATCAGTCATTACTCGCTGCAAAACCTTAGAAAAATTATATCGTTCTTCTGTGCCACTTTCTGTCTTGTACCGATAAAAAGTATATAAATGTGGAACTCGACTTGAATAATTTTATTTAGTTAATTTTACAACCACTTTGTAGTTACTGGAGACTCAGACAGAATTCATTTCTGGAAGAATCAAAAGAAGATACCACCACCGGTTTCGGCCTTTTAATTAATCATGATTCATCGATGGGTCGAAACCGGTCGTGGTATCTTCTTTTGATTCTTTCAGAAATGTATTCTGTCTGAGTTTCCAGTAACTACGAAGCGGTTGCAAAATTAGCTAAATATAACCGATAAAAAAGTTAGAATTGGAAAGTGTTTGTCACTGTGGCTGTCCGTGGTTATTCGTGGATGTTTGCGTCTTTTAGTAATACCCTATAACACTGTTGCAAAAGTCTTTGCACAAAATTAAAACTCATCCGTCTCCTTAAGAAAGCTTTTTCCTGAATTGAAGCATGCACTTTGAAGTCCACATTTAGTAAGCTTTTCAAAACTTCGAGTTTCAAGATTATCAATAAAACATTAATAATTCCGAAACAAAAAATTGTGAAACCTTTTTCAAAAACGTTTAAATGTGAATTTCAAAGTGCACGTTTCAATTCAAGAGAAAACTTTCTTAAGGAGAGAAATGAGCTTTAATTTTGTGCAAAGACCGATGTTATTTAAACGAATCTATTGGTGTAAAATCTGTCTTCTTTTTGGAAACGCGACATTTTTTTTTCTGTTTTTGTATAATGAAACTTGGTACACACAGCAACAATGTTTGCTGTAAGTTTGCATTATTGGCACCTTAATAATTTTTTTTGTCATTTAAAAGAAGTTAACTGTCAAATATAGTTTCAAGCATATGTCATTTGATCAGAACATGCTTGAAAAATCTGATTTTTACTTTTTACTTAAAATCTCTCAGAGAAAATATTCTTGACGACAAAGTGAGGATTTATAACAGTTGCTAATTTGAACTAGAAGTAGAAACATTACGTTAATCATTTTTGTGTTTTGTAGTTCAGTTTAAACAATTTTAATGACTTTAATATTTTCAAATAAAGTTTGATCGTTTATGGAAAAACCATCGAATCCAGACATGTCGTTTGAAGCAGGAACTGTACTTGGGAAGGTGGATGAAGAATTTTGTTCTCCCAAGGAAGAACAAAAATTAACAGCTCAGTTGCATGGTATTATAGCAGTTAGAACACAAGAAATACAACAGAAAAAAAATGATGTTGGTAAATGCCAACAAAGTGTCACACAATTTGAGCCAGTCACAACGGCAAAAAACGAATTAGATTGTAAAATGGTAAGTACAGATTGATTTGGAATTAGTTGAGCTTACCATGCGCTGTTTGCTAAAATGTCATAGAGCGCAGAAATCCCCTAAGGCTTTAGAATAAGGTGAAGCGGACCAAAGGCAATATTTCGGACGAAAAAAGGTTTTCTGCGCTCCATCGCGAAACGCATTTCTATACTCAGTTTTCGACGCTAATTTTGAATATGATGTTTACTTTAGCTTAAATTTGTCGTGGAGCTCAGAATACTGGCCAGAAATCGTGTTATTTTGCTGGAAAAGTAGGTATCTTCCGAAGGAATTTTCTCACCCATTTTACATAATCCCAATCTTTTACGAATCGATAGTCGTAACGAGGTCGTGCAGACTTGAAAACGTTTTCCATGATGAGTCTATCGGGTGGACTAAATTTAGACATATTCAGGGTTCCATAAACTATTTTTAATTCTGAATAGCTAAGATACCCGCCGCATAATAATGAAAGTACGCGAAGAGCTCGCGATTGCATAATTTTGTGTTAGATGCTATGCAGTATTTATCAGAGTCTTTATTGAATACTGAATTTTTGAAGTTAACTGTATTTCGCTGAGATGAGATCTCTCGAACAAAATATACCTTGGATGAACATCAAAACTGCTCATGTCCAACAGTAACTCGATTGTGTCCATTAGCCCCATGTGGTTTTTCAGAACCAAAGGTAGATAGAACGGAGAATACCAATATCCGTTTTAAAGCTGATGGCTAACTCGCATATGCGAATCAAAACTTATCTATTCAGAAAAAGAGCACCATTCGATTGGATATTAATACGAAGGATTTTGGTTTATAATAAAATATTTGTTTGTACGCTTAGATTCCACTGACCGGCATTGGTACGCACTATTTAAGTGAATTACATCAAACAAGTTTACTATCTGCTGTACAACGCATTCTGTCATTATACCACAAGTATACTTCGCAATCGACAGGTGCAGCCATTAACGACAGTTATTCTCAAATGCAACAATGTGGCGAGACATTGACAACACTAGCAAGAAATATTCCAATCTTAAATGAAGACATCGTTCGTCTGAGTACTGAGTCGTTACGATTTCAAAACTCATTGCTATCTTGTCAACACGAAATAAATCAAATGAAACAAGTGATAGATGAAAAAGACTCATGTATTACTCATATATCCAAAACT